ACTTAAAATAAAAACATGCTTAAAACATCAGCATTCTTGCAATATTTTGTTTATTTAACAGTGTCTGATAACTGACACCTCTTGCTCTGAATTATTGCATCAAAATGTCTGTGCTGTTGCAATCTTGAGTATGCTGTTCAGGTGTGCATCTGTGGGCTGCAAACCTATATTGATGCAGCAGCAGAACTGGAAGAAGAAGCAGAAGACAGCCAGTTCCACTGAGGGTCTGATAGAAGCCCTCCAGGGGCCTCATTCGGCCCCCAGGCCACATGTTTGACATCTCTGCCTTAGGGCCTTTCTCAGTGGTCAATATTACTATTGTAAAACAACACACATCCAGAAATAAATATATGAACAAAGATTTTCTTTAGAGTCAGGTGTTGCTTTCTCTTGTGATGTGCAATTGCTAAAAGTTTACACAGTAAAGGTAAAGGTTCGCTTGCTCGAAAGCCAGTCGAATCCGACTCTAGGGTTGTGGTGCTCATCTCCGTTTCAAAGCCGAAGAGCCAGCGCTGTCCGAAGACGTTTCCGTGGTCATGTGGCCGGCATGACTAAACACCAAGGCGCACGGAACGCTGTTACCTTCTCACCGAAGTGGTACCTATTTATCTACTTGCAATTTCTTGCTTTCGAATTGCTAGGTTGGCAGGAGCTGGAAATAGAGACGGGAGCTCACTCCATCATGCGGCACCCGGGTCTCGAACTACTGAACTACTGACCTTCCACAGCCTGCAGTTCAGTGTCTTAACCACTTGAGCCACATGGATAATGTCTCATGATAACTGCACAGGCTCTCCAAATTGTTCTGGTAACAAATCTCCAATGTGTCTGGTTGTGTGTCTCTTCCTTCAAAGGTAGTAATCAGTTCCAGACTTCTCCAATCCTACTGCCTTGTTTATTGTATGTCCCATTTTGTCGACTGTACTGACTCGCTCTGTGTGTAATCCTCCGTGAGTCCCTGTGAGAAGAGCAGACTATATAGAAGGGGAATAAGTAAATACAACAAAGCAATGCAGTAAAAGTGGATTACACAAGCAGAGACCAATGAAATAAAATACTGTGTTAAAAATATACTGGATTACACAATACATACACCATGGGGTAACACTGGAGGATACAGGTAATGTGGATTGTGAATTGCAGAGTGAAATAAAAACAGTATAATATA